ATCATCGTTTCAGTTCAAATTACTCAGCTCAAATTACTCAGTTCAAATTACTCACAATGTATTCTGCGGACTTAAAGCCTTTAATTCCGGCACCTTTGGCGTGCCGGCATTCTTCCAATCACATGACCAATCGTATCTAGGCTTTTCGATCTAAATATTAAGGTACCGAATCTCAACAGCCTGTTTCCTAGTATAATCAAAATCAAAATTAAATTTTATCTCGAATCTGTGATCAAAATTTTATAATCAATCCTTAAGATAATATCTAGTTAGAAAATGAAAATTAGCCTCTTTACATTTTTTAAATATCATTTAATCATTATGAAGAAACTACATTAAATTATGTAAAAAAAAAAAAACGATTATATCTTGAATGCAAATTCAGTTTAGATCTTTAAATTGATTATGACAAGTCAATCTATATTCAATAAAATAGATGAGAAAATTAAATGTTAAATGTATACCATTATATTTGGTTTATAATGCAAAAAGAAACTTAGCAATGAGTTTACGTAGTGTCACGACTGGTTGAGAGAGCAATGTGCATGATTGCACAGTTTAGCTCCAGTCGTGACTGTGGAGTGAATATGATAGCATAATCCATTTAAGTAGAGGGAACGATAGTTGGAGATTAATAAAAGGAATATCTATCACTTCACGGGTCTTATTCAAGAAACAGGATGTTAGGGATGAAGAATACTCGAGTTTTAATCATCGGGTATACAGTGGTCAACGGTACATGAAATTAGTATTTTTACTATGTATATTTTATAATAATTTCCTTGCTTTTAAATCAAACAAATTTTTTTTATATTTTGAGTCCGAAGCTAGTTTAAAGCAAGTAAAGTTTACTATTAATTTCATTTTATTCGTACATATACATAAAGAAATATTTATTAAACTAAGTATTCAAAAATAAGTTATTCAAGTCCACGAATATTTACTATTTTATTTATTTATTTATTTTCATTATCATAATTTATTCATAGAATATTTATTAAATTAAGTATTTAAACTATCCGATTTCTTCGATATTTAATTCTGCATCTACAGTAATCTTATTATACTTATTAAAGAACATGATACCGGTATTTATTAAATAAACCATTCGACTTTTATTCTCATTGTTATTTACATTTAAATCTAAGTGCAGACTAAATAAAATAAAAGTAAATTTAATTCAATTAATAAAGAATTCCGGTTATAAAGATATACGCATCAAAATGAATATAGAATAAAGCCAGAATTAATAAATAGAGAAATTGATAAGAATCTCAACTTAGAAATTTATAATTATGAACGTATGATATAATGGAAATTTCATTTGATAGAATATTAAAATAAAAATTAACAGGTATTAACAAACTTCGCTTGCTTGTATTAATATATTATTTTACCAGATAAATTCAAAATTTTTTGGCTAAGTAAAGTCAATAAAATTTTATCAGTTTAACTAATAACTAATTAACAAAGTTCATTATTAACATAGAACACATACACAACAAACGAAAAATTAATATTTTAGCTCATTACGGTTTCCTAGTATTATAGTTAAATCATAGATACTAACTATATCTAAAAAATACTGTAGACCGTAATTTAGCTTAATCAATAAGTTAAATAGGCAGGCATACGAATTAAAGTATGATAAGCACATTTTATTTTGCTATATAAAACATATAAAAATGGCATGAATTTTCTCAACCCAACTTATGTAAAAAAAATGTTGGAATTATTTGTCATTTTGTTTTCCTTTATTCATGTTATTACCTCAAGTTCGTTAAATTCCTTTGACAACAATAATGTCAATAATGTCTCACAAATCATCGATTTTAAGTTAGAATTTACAAAGACTCAATCATAAGCTGATGTTGATCTTGACAATGATATTACTCATGAAACCATTGACGAACAAATTAACGAAGTTTTAAGATACAGATGGCGTTGTGGTATGTGTTGTAGAATTAGTTGCACCAATGCACTCCAGGAAAATACTCTGGTCAAGAATTAGGATGCTATTTGTATTGTATATATTGTTTTGGGAAACAAGATAATAGAAATAATAGGAATTAAAATTGCAAGATATGCATTCAAGGAAGGATGACAATTCCTTTACATAACTATTAATGCCTTAATGGTATGAAGTTGAAATTCTTGATAGTAATACCATATTCAATATATTTTATAATTATTTTCTTTTTTGTATTGATATTAGTTTATTAAATAATTAGCTAATCTATTGCTAATAGGGTGATTCATAATTAACTTATTTCGAAAATAAGTTGTGAAATTTTGAAATCAAAAATGATATAAGAGTTATTTGGAGATAAAATGAACACCCTTTTTTTTTTTTTTATGATGTATTGTTATCATATGGTCTATACAGAAACTTAAATCTCTTAATGCGCAGTAACTGTATAGTAACTATGTAATTATGATTAAATTTAATAGTAACTATGTGATTACTATGTCGTTACTATGTAGTTACTGTATATTAAGATATATCGTTAAATTAATAAAGAACTACAGATTATTGCTTAAATTTTTTTTAAAAATTCTTAAATAATATGACATGTTTATATTCGAATTATTAATATTTAATAATATCACCCAAAAAACTTTTAAACAAACCACTAAAGAAAAGAATGGGAGATAGTTTTGTCAGAATAGTAGGATATCAACTAATTCAATTGTTTGCAATAATTCCAACAGTTCATTGATTTTTTTTTTTGAGAATATTAGTTGTATTTTTATGAATACAGTATAACCTGTCAAAACCGATACTGTCAAAACCAATAACCTGTCAAAACTGATAAAAAATTGATCCACTATCTCTTAATTAAATATAGTAATTTTACTCTTCAAACCTGATAACCTGTTAAAACTAATACAAATTTGGTCCACCATGCACATCAGTTTTGATAGGTTATACTGTACTATTAAAGCATTCTTTTATTAGTACTTTTAAAATACTATTATAAATGTCAGTCAAAAATATAAGGCTTTTTAAAATATATATGTAAAGGATATCTAGTTTCAAAAGAAAATTCACATCATAAAAAGCATTAACTATTGTTATTATATGAATAAACTTGCAAATCAAAATAAATAAGATTTATATGAATTATTGATTTTGAAAATAAATGCTTTACTAATTTAATTTGAAATAAGAAACCTGAACTTTAATTCTGAATCACCCTAATACAGTAATAAGAAATTTCAATGTCAAAATAAATGTCCTACAGTACATTCTGATCTACATAAAATTTTTATGTTATTAGTTTTCATAACTTGTATTTCTATTCAAAAGAAATAAAAAATTTTTGAAAAATTGTTAATGGATCTTTTTAATACGAAGCATCCTAAATAACTTTTGAATTTATGAAATAAGTAAAATTTTCATTTAATAATAATATAATAATAATAATAATAATAATAAAGAAAAACAAAAAGCTTTTTCTTCAATAAAAAAAAGATCCTTAGTTGAATAGTGAAACCTTATGATATAATGAATGTTCAAATGTACTGAAGAATCCAAACATTTCATATAACTCAAAGTTTAAATATTGGATTACTCTTATTTTCAAAATAATTATATTAGTAAGGTGAAAGAGCTTCATTTAATCAAGTAAATCAGAAGTAATTTAAAAATGCAGTTGTCTAACTGAAAGTTTTTTATAATATAATTTGTGACACACATCAAGTATCTGAATATACCAGTCAGATAAAATTTGTGTATAATATATTATATCTTGCTGTAGGTAGTTGTGGCAAAAATATGGAATGTGATGTTTATATTATCAAACAAGCTTTCACAAATTTTTCTATTGTTTTTGATGACTTTTTAAACAAAATGGTATTATTGTGGCAAATTTATGAAATATCTGAAATTTGAAAAATTTGACCACCAAAATATAAATATAAATTTTGGCTGAGATAAGAAATTTTTCCCAGGCTAAGGTGCGTTGTTATAATAAATTTATATGTCTAATAAGGGTGGGAAAGATGGGTTATCAGTCTAGATCAGAGGTTCAAAAAAAATTTTCAGGTTTGGTATTGATTTATTAATATGTAAATTGATAACTAAGATTTACTTTGGGGGACAAATTTTCATAAGATCGCTGTGATGTAATATTGTTCAATTCTCAAAATAAAAAAAAAACTTAGCGTGACAAA